GGCAACATATCAATTAAACAATAAAATCGAAGGTATTTTGATAAAATTATATATAAAGATATAGTTTGCAAATGACAAAAAAATGTGTATATTTTCAATCTCTCTTCAAAAGTAGTATATTTGAGCAAATTTCCTCTTTTTAATTCTATAGGAGGATATACTCTAAAGTCCAAACTACAAATGGACGACATTTTTTATGATGTCCCGTCTTGTGGATTGTCATAAGAAATATTTGAGAATTAGCTGTTAATTTGCTAGATTTGACCTCTATTAAGAATCCTTTGTCACATAACTTAATAGTAAGTTGGATTATTGCATTTATTATTTGGTATGAACTCGTTTCGTGTGGGAGTATACATACAGAAATGCAATTTAGCAAAAGAAAAAAAGAAGAAGAAGAAGAATCTTGAAGATAAATCGTGCATATCCCACCCAGATCACAAAAGACCCTAATAATTAGTTATGTGATAGTAACAGCTGCATGTCCAATTTGCCAAACCCTAGGGTACAAATAAAATTAAAGAAAAATGATGTGGATGCTCCTGGAGACCCATCGCAATGTATGATGGGGGACCATGAAGACCTTTTTTTCTATCATAAACTTCTCAAAACATAATGTTCAAAGCATCAGGACAACAGGACTTCGCCATGTACCGATTGTCCACAAAAGTATAATATCTGTTCTCTTTTAGTTACTTGGTTCTTTCTCTCTGTGTTTAAGCGATGATCACGAGATCATGAAGGACAAGCTTGTGAGGCATGTTTTCATGAAAGATTCCATGTCTAAGAGACAAACGATCCGTGAAATATTTCTTCCTACAATGTTTGTCAGATTTGTACGTTAAGACTTATGTTTTGTTGTCGGTAATCAAATGAATTCTCGATAATTTTCAATAATTTTTATTTTTGTAAATGCTTCTTTTTCTTTTTCTTCACGAATATAGAAATTTTGTTGTACTCGTCAAAGTGTTAACTAATCTGATTAAGAATGCTGATGATTAGTTTATGTTCAAAGCTTCTCCTTTTGTGTTTATAATGCATTGTATAAGGTTCAAACATGGGATTAACCAAAAAAAAAATCTGATACCTTGGAAAGGTTTATTTAACTAATACATCTTATAAAAAGACTAATATATATATATATATATATGCATCACAAGAAACAAGTACTCTTTCTTAACACCAAGATCTTGTTTTATTATGATATCATAACGCTTTTTAACATGAATTAATTACTTTAGCACTAGGGTTCAGAGTAGTAGCCCTAGCATCTCCTTTCGCTCAGGAAATGTCCCTCTCATCTCTCTCTCTCTCTCTCTCTCTCTCTCTGGCAACATATCAATTAAACAATAAAATCGAAGGTATTTTGATAAAATTATATATAAAGATATAGTTTGCAAATGACAAAAAAATGTGTATATTTTCAATCTCTCTTCAAAAGTAGTATATTTGAGCAAATTTCCTCTTTTTAATTCTATAGGAGGATATACTCTAAAGTCCAAACTACAAATGGACGACATTTTTTATGATGTCCCGTCTTGTGGATTGTCATAAGAAATATTTGAGAATTAGCTGTTAATTTGCTAGATTTGACCTCTATTAAGAATCCTTTGTCACATAACTTAATAGTAAGTTGGATTATTGCATTTATTATTTGGTATGAACTCGTTTCGTGTGGGAGTATACATACAGAAATGCAATTTAGCAAAAGAAAAAAAGAAGAAGAAGAAGAATCTTGAAGATAAATCGTGCATATCCCACCCAGATCACAAAAGACCCTAATAATTAGTTATGTGATAGTAACAGCTGCATGTCCAATTTGCCAAACCCTAGGGTACAAATAAAATTAAAGAAAAATGATGTGGATGCTCCTGGAGACCCATCGCAATGTATGATGGGGGACCATGAAGACCTTTTTTTCTATCATAAACTTCTCAAAACATAATGTTCAAAGCATCAGGACAACAGGACTTCGCCATGTACCGATTGTCCACAAAAGTATAATATCTGTTCTCTTTTAGTTACTTGGTTCTTTCTCTCTGTGTTTAAGCGATGATCACGAGATCATGAAGGACAAGCTTGTGAGGCATGTTTTCATGAAAGATTCCATGTCTAAGAGACAAACGATCCGTGAAATATTTCTTCCTACAATGTTTGTCAGATTTGTACGTTAAGACTTATGTTTTGTTGTCGGTAATCAAATGAATTCTCGATAATTTTCAATAATTTTTATTTTTGTAAATGCTTCTTTTTCTTTTTCTTCACGAATATAGAAATTTTGTTGTACTCGTCAAAGTGTTAACTAATCTGATTAAGAATGCTGATGATTAGTTTATGTTCAAAGCTTCTCCTTTTGTGTTTATAATGCATTGTATAAGGTTCAAACATGGGATTAACCAAAAAAAAAATCTGATACCTTGGAAAGGTTTATTTAACTAATACATCTTATAAAAAGACTAATATATATATATATATATATGCATCACAAGAAACAAGTACTCTTTCTTAACACCAAGATCTTGTTTTATTATGATATCATAACGCTTTTTAACATGAATTAATTACTTTAGCACTAGGGTTCAGAGTAGTAGCCCTAGCATCTCCTTTCGCTCAGGAAATGTCCCTCTCCTCTCTCTCTCTCTCTCTCTCTCTCTCTCTCTCTCTCTCTCTCTCTCTCTCTCTCCCCCACGCTAAACCGGATGACATTTTCTCTCCGTTTTAATAAGCCCCTTAAACCCTCTCACTCTCCCTTTTTATAAAGGTCACGAGACCCACTTTGTTCTTTGCTTTCCCCACTCCGAGAGAGAGAGAGAGAGAGAGAGAGAGGGAGAGGGAGAGAGGATTTGTGGCAGATAAACTGATAGATAACTTTGAAACCTATCTTCTTTAATTTTTTCCATGTTCTCTTCGTTTCTTCCCTATATTTTCGTTTCCTTTTGTGTTGCAGTATCGAACTGAAAGTCTTGTAGTAATATTACAACAGCTCCGGGGAGAGGTTTTGTCTCACGGCGAATTTTCTTGTTTGTTTTCCCTTTTCCCATTACAATGTAAGTCTCGCGTACCCCACCAGAGTCAGAGGTTTTGTCTCACGGCGAATTTTCTTGTTTGTTTTCCCTTTTCCCATTACAATGTAAGTCTCATAATTGAATTCAATTTCCTTCACTTTCTTTCGAATTTCCGACATTTTGCTTTTGAGTTTAATCCAAACTTTTAATGAAGGAGAAATGAAGAGAATCACTTAGACCTCAACAACTTGCCTGATGATTTCCCTAGAGATGTCATTAGACAAACCTTCGAAGAGGGCTCTTCATCTGGTAATTCACTCAAGTTAAATATTTACATGCCTTTTCTATTAAACAAGGTTTTGTGAGCATTAAATATTAACAACGAAATATAAAATGAGACTAAATTTCATTGGTGGATCAAAACGTACGGTCCAGGTTACACACGAGGCTTTGTACTTGCGTGGTCAAAACCCTAATTAATACCTTTTTCCATTAACCAAGGGAATAATTTTTCTTTAGAGAGTTATACTGTTATTGGACACTAAACATTACTGTGTGAAAACGGGCAAAACATAAGATCAGGGTTTATTTGTGTTGCATGTTGGTCCAAACCAGGTACGTTTTGTCTATGAATGAATTCATGTTCTATTTTTTTTTATATTTTTTTTAATTTTAAATTTTGGTGGGTTTTGTGATTAGGTCAGAGAAAGAAGAAAGGAGTTAAGGACGGGAAAGATGAGGGTAAGGTCTACGAATGTCGGTTTTGTAACCTCAAATTCTGCAAATCTCAAGCTCTCGGTGGACACATGAATCGCCACCGACAAGGCATGTCAGTTCCCGGAATTAATAAAAATGTTCATAATTGATTGGTATATATGATGCATAGCAATGCATGCATGCTTTTACGTTCCTGCAACTAAATGCAAGCAAAATCTTTGTCTTGATAATTAATGACTGAATCTGTCTAGGAAGATGGGTTTAATTAAATCACATCCATCCTGACTATGTTGTCCTTAATACAACAACTTAAGATCTTGTCCTTCGTTTTTGTCTGCGATTAATCTTTTGTTTTCTTTGTTCTGACAAAATCAAGAGAGGGAGACGGAGACATTGAATCAAGCTCGACAATTGGTCTACCGGAATGATACCTTAGCTCCACCGGGAATTTCTCCTTTCGGGTACTTCAACACTGTTTCATTGTAACATCAAGATATCTATTCATTACATCCATACAAAATTTCGAAATTCGGGTATTAGTTCTTAACATGTGACATGACCAATTTGAATTCGTGCCAGTTTCCCCACCACAGACCCGACATTATATTACGCACCAAGGCTATTCCCCGGAGGTTCCTCCGCCGCAGCAATCCTGCCGCCACCGCCACCGCCACCACCATCCTTCCCATTCTCTTCACCTATACGCCTTTCTTCTCCATACTCTTCAAACCAGTACTCACCTCACCGTTCCGTGGATGATTACTATTTAGGTCAAATCTTTAGACATAACTTGACCTCCTCCCAAAACCCTAACCCTACCCAACCCACCGTCCGCTACAGGGAATCGAGTAATTACACATGCATTGGGGCACCCGTGGGCCACAGCGATTTGGACGTGTTTAGCCGCGATGGCAATGGTTCACGGCCGCCTTTGGATCCATCTCGTCCTCCTCCACCGATCAATCGATTTCAAGATCATGAGGCACTCTGATACCAAAGATCTGTGTGTTTCTTCCCGACTATTTCAACCATTTTTTTTTTGTTATTTTATTGTTCTTTTCTTTTGGATCTTAGCAAGTCATCATGAAAGTATGGATTTTTAGGTTTGTCTAAACCCCACCGATCCCTACCTATGTTATTATTGTTACGTGGCCCCACGTGTTTTAAATTTTTGTCGCATCTTGGTAGAAATAAACAAGAGTTCAAAACTTGAATTTAGGATCTGGATGTAAGTTTGTGTTTTTGTCCATTGGGTATTTCATCACTGAAAACACATTCGATCATCAGCCCTCTACTGTACGTCACTGTAAAATCGATTCACTAAACAAGGGACCATTATTGATGTGTGCTATAGGATATGTATTAAAACAAAGTTTCCATTTATGGATACATGGATTAAGTTAAAACAAAAACTATAAATCTTTATTGGAATAGTGAAGGAGAGGGAGATAACGACCGGACAAATGTAGCCAGAGAGAGAGAGAGAGAGAGAGAGAGAGAGGTTTGTGTGTAATATATTGCAATATATGTACTGAGATTGGATCAGCCTTTTCTGAGCTCATCTACATCTATTACACACTCAGCTACTTTGGCTTTACGTAGAGAGGATTGGAGAAATGATTTATAGCTTTGGGTGTTTCCTTTTGCATTCAAATTAAAATTCAAATACAAAGTTCCGAAATCATAATAAGGAACTAGATTGAGATGGAGACTGTTACATCCCAACTGAATACCCCTAATTATTAACTAATAAACATTCTCCAAGTGTGAGAAGGGTCATCCGCCCACATTTCCCCGATCTTTTGAAAGATGTAGTTGAGACGTGACATTATAAATAATACCCTTATTTTGCTATATGTATTTTTATATCATTTTTCGTGTGATCAATATGATTATTGTGATCTATTTTAGAATCATACTAGTCACAATAAAATTACATAGTGAACACATTAGTTATAATGATCATACCGTTAAAATTAAATAACGAGTGTGATTATTATCTATTGGTTACAGTGATCGCAAAAAAATAAGTTAAAAAGAGTATGATTTGAAGTCCATTTATCAAAGTAAGATTAGTTTTGATATCATGCCAGTTGGACCAAATGCAGCTGAAATTCAGGATTATAAAAAAAAAAACTAGAAAATGTTCCACTTTTGAATTTTTCAGCTTCTCTCTACTTTCTATATTATCACTTTTCGATATTGTGATTCTTTCCTTTTGTGTGCATACACACACAAATCATATATGTGTCTACACCTGCGCGCGCGCATATATATATATACATATATATATAATGAATAATCCGTGCACCAAGATTCTTTTTATTTTATGGTGGAAGTACATAAAGAAAGGTTTGAATCCTTGGAAGTTGAATATGTAAATGCAGATATATATAGCTATCGATCGGTTAAATTGATTATGTCAATATTTTCATAACTAGTCTCTCTATTAGTTTTTTTTCAGGTAAATTAAGAAAAATACATTGTTTTTACCCTCTAAATTGCCATTTGTGTTTGTATTAATCCACAGAACGATCATTTAATATAAATAGACAGCATAACTATACACACACACGCGTGCACACATAAATGTACAATGGATGTTTCGAGACAATGTTGTAAGGTGGTACAAATTAAATATGATTTGATTTAATTACGAATATTGATCATAATTTTAATTTGTTGAAGCGATCGACAAAAAGAGCGGACAATATCCAATAAGAAATCAGGACTGAAATCATATACTGACGATAAATAAAGAGTAACGGTACTTACTGTAAGAAGATCTTGCGTACATACACATATGGCTTACATATTAACGCAGTTTTTACAAGAAACATATACATATATATATA